CACAAACCTGGCATAGGCAAAAATCCTAAACCAAAAAAGTTACAAATCAATTGTATTTCATATTTAAAAGCATTTGCCCTTAAGAAGACACAATTCAGAAAATAAAAAGAAATGAGAAGTCAAACCACGTAATCAGAGAAGCATTTATATTCTCTTTCTGTCATAAAGAAATGAAAAGGTGTTCACTTAGGAAAATAAAGTCACTATGTAATGTCATTCTACACATATTAGAGTGGTTAAAGTAAAAAATACTGAAATTACCAAGTGTTGACAAGTACGCAGAGCAACTGGATCTCTCATGAATTGCTGGTGAAAGTGGCACAATTACTCTGTAGAATAAAAAAAAACATTATAAGCTTTATAAGCTTGTAAAGACTTTGTTACCTTCAGAAGCTTTATAAGCTCCTTATAAAGTTAAATATACTCTTAACATATGTCCTAATGATTCTGATCCAGAGCATTTTTCCTAGAGAAGTGAACTTTATTCAAACAAAAACTGTACATAGATTTTCATAGCAGTGTTATTTGTAATAGCCAAAACTTAACACAACCCAAATCTCATTGAATGGGTAAAAGAATAAAGAAATGATGGTACCTATATGCAATAGATAGACAACACACCAATAAAAAACAAAAAAAAAGAATGCTTTTGACATATACAAAAATTTCCATAGATCTCAAGAACATTATGTTGAATTAAAAAGGGCTAATCTCAAAAGATTACATGCTATATGATTTCATTAATTTAACATTCTTAAAATCGCATAATTATAGTAATAGAGAACACGTGACTAGTTGCCATGCTTAGGTTGGGGTTAGGACATGACTATAAAGGAGAACAAGAAAATTTCTTTGGGAAGATGAAACAAATTTTTGTCCCAATTATGATGATACATGAATCTATATATACTAATTCAATATATAATCTATATGTATACATATGATAAAATATCATAGAACTGCAAAAAAGAAAAAAAAATAGTGCATGTGAAAACTAGTGAAGTCCTAATAAGGTTGGTAGTTTAGTAATAGTATTGATACAATGTCAATTTTTTTGTTGTTGTTGATCATGATGTGGTTATGTGAAGTGTCATTGAGGTACGCTGGGTGTAGGGTGCATAGGGAAGTCAGTGCTATTTTTTTGTGTCTTCTATGGGAATTTTAAAATTCTATGGGAGTTGAACTTCACATTTAAGGTCTTTGCACTTTACTGCATGTACATTATGTCTTTTAAACATTTAAAGTGACTTCCCTACCCACATATGTTATATAACAAGACATCTGTCTTATTATATAAGAAAAAGAGTTTGTGCAAAGATGATGTATTGCTAATTTAGGAGTATACATAATTTATTTTCTTTACATAAAGTTAAAAAGCTTTTAAAATCATTCATATGTCTAGCTATATTACAAGTAATTATGTGGTACATATATAGTATATATCATAATTTTGCCATAATTTGAAAAATATTCTAACAGTTAAAATAAATGAACTAAATCTAGATCTCATATATGTAATATACAGTGAAAAAAACAAATCACAGAAAAATATATCATTTATGTTAATTTTGAAATAATACTCTAAAATGTTTAATACATATGTAGAAAACAAAATAGCATGTAAGAGAACTTTATAAAACTTGCTTTCTCTCTTTAAAGAAATATCTGGGTAATAAGTTCATAGATAGTTGTTATTATGTGGGCTGTTCTGTATATCTTCACTTCCAAAAAGACAATATTTTTAAAATTAAAATTAATATTTAATAAAATCTTGTTTAAGGAAAAAATGTAGAAGAGGAGGAAATCCCTCTTCTTTAATCTATGAGAATCCATTTTTTTTTTTTTTTTTTTTTTTTTTTTTTGAGACGGAGTTTCGCTATTGTTACCCAGGCTGGAGTGCAATGGCGCGATTTCGGCTCACAGCAACCTCCGTCTCCTGGGTTCAGGCAATTCTCCCGCCTCAGCCTCCTGAGTAGCTAGGATTACAGGCACGTGCCACCATGCCCAGCTAATTTTTTGCATCTTTAGTAGAGACGGGGTTTCACCATGTTGACCAGGATGGTCTCGATCTCTTGACCTCGTGATCCACCCGCCTCAGCCTCCCAAAGTGCTGGGATTACAGGCTTGAGCCACCGCGCCCGGCGAGAATCCATTTTTTAATTAAGTTGCCAAAGTTGGAGGTGAATTAGAATCCAATGCTTGGAAAGTCCTGTCCCAAAATGTGCATCTCTCATTTAATTGTGATAATATAGTGGGGAGCAGGGGCTGCAAACCTTGTAGGTAGGGCTGTAAAAGAGATCTGTTCTGAAAACAAAGATGTAAAAGAATTTTGCAAAACCCAGTCTAATAAGTATTTGCCATTAAGTTGTATGTGAGAAAATTCTTATCTGACATTAACTTGAGACTGTTTATTATATTATAGCCATAGAAAATATTGCAGTAGTTTAGAATCCAGCATAACTTTTTATAGAATAAGTGTTGAATGTGTAATCACACATTTTCAGTTATTTTCAGTTGTTTTTGTTTTTTGTTTTTTGTTTTTTAAGTTGGTGCTCCATATCCATGGGTTCTACGTTCACGGATTCAACCAACTATGGATTGAAAATATTCAACAAACAAAAAATAACAATACAACAATAAAAATGATGCAAATAAAAAACAATACAGCATAAAAACTATATAGCATTTACATCTACTTAGGTATTAGAAGTAATCAGAGATTATCCTAAGTATAAGTGAGGATATGCATAGGTTATATGCAAATAATTCTCCATTTTAAATCAGGAACTTGAGCATCCATGGATTTTGTTATATGTGGAAATCCCAGAATGAATCCCCACAAATACTGAGGGATGACTATAAATACATTTTATATGATATTGAAAAACTCTGTGTATTCTTTACAATTTCTCTGCTGTTTTTTTTTTATTTAATAGTAAGCAGAGAGTGGTGTTTAGTTGGAAAGTCAATGTTTTCAAAAATAATATCTAAATATTACTGCATATGGGCTGTGCCAGATTCACTGAAAGACATCTAGCTAGCCCATTTATGAAATTTCTAGGTTTGCTTTTAAGCTGCTAAATGGCGTCATTTTGAAGCCATGTCTTTCTGATAATTTTACTTATAAAGTTGATTTCCTATGTAATATTACCAAATTAGTAACTGACACTAGTTATTTTCTACTTTGGAAGAAATCATCTTTGGATGTTAATAACTTAGATGATAATAAAATTTTTGGAAGGTGTTTATTTACAAATGTTTCCTTAACTGTAGGGTTTGTCTTATTTCAGGGAGAGTGGGAATTCTACTTTCTTAATAGGTGTAGTGAAATTATGTTATTACATTAAATAAATCAACCTCATTTTAAAATGTTAAGGCTTATAGTCATAAAGCCTCTTTAGTCTGCAGGAGGATCCCTTATCAGGTTCACCTTTTTTTTTCTTGTTATCTAGTCTCACCAAAATTGTGGTGTTGCTTTGATGTTTCCCCTTAATTTTTGACTGTTTATTTTTAAGATTTACCATTTATTGAGCTATTCTAATGAGCTATTCTAATATTAGACATGTATTCTTATATACTATTGAGATGGATTTCAAAAATAATGTATAACTCATACAAATCACAAGTGTAAATTCAAACCCAATTTTTATTTATTTTTAAGTTTTCTACCAAGGTTTTTGACAATGTAATTATATCACTTAGCCAGTTACATTTAAAAAAATGGTTGACATTATAGAATGGGTTATATTCTGAACTCGGCAAGAGTAACACTTGCTTACTTAAAAGTAGTATGTTAGGCATTACATATGTTAATTAGCTCACTTTAGCCATTCCACTGTGTATTTATATTTTAAAACATCATGTTTTACGTGATACATATATACAATTTTTGTTTGTCAATTAAGACCGAATCGGGGAAAATATAAATAGATTTGGAAAAATATAAGTATATTAAATAAATGGAAGTTCCTATGTTTAAGAGTAGAAAGAAGGTGGGAGGGGATGAAAGGGTGAAGGGCAAATATCTCAATTTTTAAGAGGATAATTTTTGGATTCTAGTTCCTTGAGTCTTTGTAGTTCATCATGTGGTGACAGCTTTTTACCATAGTGGTGGTTTTATGCTTTTATTTTGCTATGTGTAAGTTTTCTTAACATCAAACATTAAGAACAATGCTTTTTCACAGGATTTCAAGCATAGTGTGGTTTTGGTTAAATCCCAGCTACTTTGAGGCTGCTTTGCTTCCCCTCATGGCATTTCCCCCCATTTCAGAACTGAATCCTAATATGTCTTTATGTAATGATATTCAACATTATGTACAACAATGTTTTAAAGGTAAGAAGCAATTAATTTTGACTCTTAGATTCAGTCTAAGTAATAAAAGTTCAAAGGCAATTTGAGATAATTTAATTTTTATGTTCATTGAATAACACCCTGAAATATCTATATATTTGTAATTATCCCCAAATTAGACTTAAACATAATATTTAACATTGATAATGGTTGTAATGAGAGGATAAAGATTGTCTGTAGCTTTATAGTATGCAAGTATGGGATGAAAGGCATTTCAGAGAATTTCATTGATAAGACTAATATGTATAAGTGGCAATATGTAAATATTGCAAAAAATAACCGGATATGACATGTCTAACATTCAGTTAAGAATTAAATAATATACTTGGCAAATAAATAATGTTAAACTCTTTAAAGTTTCATCAGCTACCTTTGAGATTGATTTTCATCAAAATTACTGTACTAAAATGTTTTCTTTTGTTGTACAGACTCAAATAGCAATCCTCAATTTTATAATCGACTCTTATTTGCAAAAAATGCTTTGACATAGTGCATTTGTTCTGCCTGGGCAGCAATAAAGGATTGTGGTATCATTTTGAAGAAGGTTGTTTGACAGAGCCTGTTTGTTTATTTGGGGTAATGTGAGCTGCATTCAGAAAATGCCATATTTTGTTTCATGATTGTATACATTCTCTTCCATTGCTCCCAGGCAAGACTTGTAAGCAGAGAAGACACGGATTTAGACCTTTTTTCCATGAGCAATGGAAATGCTTTGTCTGTGAACAGAGAGAAAAAAAATCAGGCACACAGACACTCAGCAGGATCTTCAAGTAAGTTGTGGTTTCCTTCAGAATTAATTTAGAAATCACAAACGAATTGATGGAACCTAATGCCAACAAGCGTTCTTTTACAGATAGGGGGTAGGATGCTAGCAACTTGAACTGACCAAAAATGTGTATTTAAATTTTTTCTTTCTTTACATGTCCTCTTTTGTTATAAACAAAATTAAATTATTTCTAAAATCAACTGCATCCATTTTTATTTTAATTGTATTCTATGAATCAATATCTCCTGCCCCCCATACCCTATGAATCATATTGAATTTGTTGATAATTTAATTCTAGAAGATTTTTTTAGACTGATTGTAAAATGTTAGATTTATATATGAAAGTAACATTTTGGCCTTTTGCCATTGATTTAATAGATACTGTATGTAAAGTTAATATTCAAAGGAAGTATTTGTAAATAGAAGAGGTTTAGATAGTATTATATTGTCAAAAACATGCTTTCAAAAACTATTTCCATTGGATATGTGAGAGTTTGATTATGTCTGTTAATAATGACTATATATTCATAAACCTGTCACATACAACTATTACCTTTAATTTTGTGTGAAATATGTCTATTAAATATATTATATATATATATAAAACATATATAGAGAGAATATAGAAATAATGGTTTCAACAAAATTTATATTGCAATTATTAACTGAAAAAATGTAAACATTTAAAAATTATCTATATCTTGTGGTATTTCAGGAGACTAGAGAGTAATATCTTTCAAAGTGCTTATTTAACCCTTATTTAACCGCATTAGTATAAAAGATGTTTTGCTTCACATTACATTTTGTTAACTTCCCCAATGTATAGTGAAACTCAAAAGTTCACACATATTTATACTTAATTATAATTATTGTTATTTTTGAAAAAGTTTTATTACTCATTGATATTACACACACACACACACACACGCACACACAATCAATATTTGATTGAAAGTGAAAAATTCAGTGATCTAGATGGTGCACTCCAGATAAATGAAAACTTCAAAATGATTCTCTGACTTTCACTTTCATCCAAGTACTTGACTTAATTAGATTATAATTATTTGTATTTATTCATACATGCAAGTTCATTTTAATAAATTTTAATTTACTTTTGAAATAATAATTTTAATATGTCTAATTTTTAAATATTTTCCAAGTTTCAAAGACCTCAGAGATCTTGAATTTTTCTTTTCTTTTTTTTTTATGATTCAGTCTCCATAGAGACTGCCAAAAATTGCCAACGCCGACTATATTTCAAGTTGTCATGGTGGGGTATTGGGAGAAGTTTTCAATTAGCAATAATCGCACGTTGGATAAACCTCATTGGCTACCATACTGCCACTGCGCAAAGCTGAATTTTTCTTATATGATTATAGAATCTGGTCATTGAAATGTTGCCCTAGTCCATATAGTTAAGAAATAAATATTTTGTTTAAATTATTCACCTAATATAAATATTTTAGTTATTAACATAATACACTAACTTTATCAAATTTCAAAATCTGTATTCCTTTTCAGAATTAATCAACCTGTGTCAATACATATTAATGAATAATGCTAATTTTTTGTACTGCATATTAAACTCATATGATATTACTTTGGAGCATGGTAGGTAAAAAATAAATTAAGAACAAACACAAAAACAAAAAATTATTGCCTTGTCACATTAGAATTTCAAAACTTCTGTTTATATCATATTACCTCAATGTTAAAACATTAATAATAAATCAGCAACTGTTTTCAAATATGCAAGTTTCATCATTCACATCCATGATATTGAATTATAGATTTTAGAGTACAGAGTTCACTTTTAACATATCCTCTAAGAAGCTGAAATAATGCAATTCTCATTGTAATTCCAACTATTTGTCAACAAATAATATTTTTGTAAACACTGCTAATCTCTGAATGTGCTTAGTAAGTGACAATTTAAGGCAAACTACTTTAGAAAATGGAATTTTAATTAAATAACAGAATGATAATGAATAATATAGACTTGTTTAATCACTGTAGTTACTAGTTAACTATAACATCAGTATTATATAATGATAAAGAGTATGATCTCTGACATCAGTTTGGCTGGATTTGAATGAGGACTTAATCTTTAAGATAGGAGTGATAATAGAAGTATCTAACTTAGAGAGTTGTTATTGGGATCAAGTGGATGCCAGTTAGAACACAAACTGGTACAAAATAAGTGCTTAGTAAGCATTCTTTATAATTACCACCTATGTATAGTTGTAAAAGAAGCATCTATTGGGCTATGGTATGGAAGTCTCAAGTATCTAGGCACATGGTCTAATTGTTGCAGCTTACAAGAAACCTACTCTTAGTTGCTTAACTGAAATATTTGGCTTAGTCTATCTATCATTTTATAGAAATCAAAGTCCTTGGGCCTTACGCCTCCACGGCCCTGGGTCAACCAGTTACAGCGTTGGCATCTCGAAAGCTCTTTTTCTTTTAGCTTCCTCTCACTCTCAAATTTTATCAGCTTATACAGCTATTAATAAAATATTTCTTTTAGCTTTGCGAGTCAAATCCAGAATGCACTTTGTTGACTACAGCTGTAAACCTCTTTTTGAGCCTTTGAACTTTTCTAGATATTTCTCTTTTAGTGTTGTAATTTTATAGCATGCATTCTTTGGGATCAGATAAGTTCAGATTTAAAATCCCAGTTCCACCATCACATATGAGTTTTGTGATCTTGGGCAAATTGTTTAACCTCTAACATTAAGTTTACTCTCTATAAAATAGGAATAGTAATGTTTATATCATGGTTTTAATGAGGAAAAAATGAATGAAATATACATAAAGAATGTGATATATTGCCTTGGATATTATAAGGTCCTGAAGAATAGTACCTGATGTCTTCATTGTTTGTTGTTGTAGGTTTTGAGATTCTGTTCATCATTATAAAACAACCCCACAGTAGAACTGTCTTCCTATTCTGTGTGTCAAATGTAAGAAGACCAGGAGGAGTATACTTTTAACATGCTAGCCATCTCAGGAAACACTGTCTTTTCTTAGAGAACTTCCTAAATTTTCTGTCTCTTTTCTGTTAGTCTTTACTATTTCCTTATAAAAGGGCCAAAACAGTCTTCTGCTATCTAGATTTCTAATCTATCATATGGTTTACAAAGTAATGTAAGAGATTACATTCTCATTCAAAAATTGCCATTTATAAAATGAACATAGAAAGATATTTACTATTTATATAATATTTAGGCAAAATATTTGATTTTACTAAATGATTTGTTTGACTCTATTTCCTCATTTAATGCTTAAAGTATGTATTGCAATATATAATAATTTTAGTGGTAGAGCAACTTACAGCTTTATACATTATCTTTATCTTTTCTCATGCATAATAATTAGTTTTCTTTGGCAACTAACATACATGAAACAGGATTTTGACTAATTTGCTTTTCACACAAAAAAAATGGAAGGAAGAGCAGCAACTGGAATTCATCTTTTTTTTTGTTCCAAATCCAGGGATATATCATCATTTATTCTTCTATGGACTAAAACATATAACTTAGTTAGTAAAATAGTAAACAAAAATTAATATAGTTTTTAATTATTAAATTATCCAAAAGTCGTTTATTGAATGCTTACTGCTCCCTGCATACCCATAGTAGTTTCCAGGTGCCTCCTTCTGATTGACTCTGTACTTTCCAGGATATATTCCATTTTCATAGTTAGTTGGGGTTTGAAAACCACAAATACCTCTGTAACAGTGAGTAACCAGATCCTAGTCAAGTTCTTCTTTGGTTATATCTAAACTCATGAAAAATTAGCCCTTTTCATAATGGTATTGAATTTTCTGAATATGGCAGAAAGCATTGTTCAAAAGAGAAGAATTACAGTGGTCAAATTAACTTAGAAAGATATCTTAAAGGCACTATACATGATTTGTACCTAGAATGACAATTGGGATTTAAGGAAGGAAAGAGGTAGAAGGAAACAACTTAAAGAAAGGTAAAGAGTAAAATATGAATATATCTTTGTGGAACATAGAAGGGTCTGTCTGGACCAGAGGTTCCATATACTGAAGTAATGTAAAATAAGGTTGGATTAAAGAGGAAAGCTAGTTTTAAGTAAGTTTGAAAGTAAAGTAGAAGACTTGAACTTTCCTACTAATAATAACAAATGAAGATTTTGAAAAATAAGTGTTTTAGAAACTAATATTTGTTTTAAAAGGTATTCTGAATCTTTTCTAACATTACATACTTCCTCTAATATATTGAAAGAGTAATTTTACAGCTCGTATGAAAAAATATTGATTTTGGTGATAAAACCTTCAAAATGAAATAGATTGCTAGGAGTCCATGCCTAATACTGTTTACAGGTTGAGGGACTAAGGATAGCAGCTAAAGGAAAAGTAGATTCCAGGGATAGATATTGGGATTTATTTCAAGTAGAATAAGCAGATTTCAATAGTAAAATTTTAAACTTGCAAATCAAGAAGGTAGCATGTTGTATATTTATGTTTATCTGTGTACATATATTATATGTGCACATGTATATGAATATCTAATTTGTGCATAGCTGGAAATATATGTGTGTGTTTGTGTGTGTGTGTGTGTGTGTGTGTGTGTAACATGCATAATACCACACTGTGTGAACTCAAGAATTATCAATTGCATATATTTGTGTATTATTATATAAGCCACACATCATAATGGTAAGCTGTTACCTGCCTACAATGTGCGAATCACTTCTACAAGCCATAAAGAAAATATAAAGATGAATTATATGTGCCTAACACATATCAGGCACTTATATTAAGTGAATAAGTGAATATATGAGCCTTTGTTGCTACTCTCCTATATCATGTATTCATATAACTTTATTTTTTAATGGATATTGTTTTCTACAAAAACAAAGAGAAACATTTTCTTTAACATTCATGGACTTCTTTCCGAACTGTATGTATGAGATTTAGACTGATAAATTGTTACAGATATTAGAGTAACGTTGTCAAATATTATAAAGTAAAATGCTCTATGATGGAATTTAATCAACATGAAGATGAAATTTTGAAAAGTTTGGCTTATATCAGAGAGGAAAATCTGTCTTAAAAGCCCTAAACAGACTTTCTTTTAAATTCCACTGTCAATAACAATGTTGTACTAATATTTTGTGTTTATTGATTCTTCTCTGCTAGAATGTATGCTCCAGGAAGGCAGGGAAT